CTTCGGAAGGCACGTTAAGCCGTTGGTGCTGGCTGCAAGGCCCGCGTGTTGGTCATGGCCCAATCTCCCAATTCCTTCCTTAGGGAAGGCCTGTGCCCCAGCAGTGGGGACATTAATAGGCTGATGATGATGATGATGATGAATCTAGTTGGTATGCAGATTAACGATGTGACCAGCTTACAAGGCCAGACCACACGTTCAGCTCGGAACAGAGCCGATGATTTGTATAAATAATTCCAGTTCTTTGGCATCAGCCGGCCAATCAAATTACTTCAGTTTGTTAGTTGATTGCATGGCGCCGTTGAGCGACCGCGTTGTGGATGTGGCAAGGCATTTTTTTTTTATTGTATTTTTTATCAAAACACACGTTGGCCGCGCTTTTTGTTTGCTTAAAGCGCCTACTGACATGCCTGCCGCAGGGTTGCCCCTGATTGTTCTAGGGTGTAAGAGTGGGGATGACCCTTGATTGCCTCCTGAATTGTGATGTGTGTAGGCAAGTTGGGGCAATTTTCTACATCGGGCCTGCGGCAGGGTGGCAGGAGCGCGCGACCACCCTTGCTCACTAGATTGTCCCAACCGCCCTGCACGTTGCCGCGTGTGTAGTGCGATTGGGCCAATTTCTCAATCAGTCGGTTAGTAGCTGTCACACGCAGCGCACGTATTTCGATCAAGATGGCGGCAGATCATAATGATAATGAAGTTTGGACACAAGTGATCGAAGTATACAAAGACCGTATATACTTCGATCACTCGATCACATACCGTATTTTTTTACCACGTACGACAAAACTGTGGAATATATTGTCGCCAGCAGTGTTTCCGGACCAATACGATTTGGGTCCTTCAAAAAAAGAGCGTACTCCTTCCTTAAAGGCCGGCATCGCATTTGTGATACTCCTGGTGTTGCAAGTGTCCATGGGCGACGGTGATCGCTTACCATCAGGTGAGCCGTCTGCTCGTATGCCACCTATAACATAAAAAAAAAGACCGGCCCCCACATGTGGGATAAAAAAAACATTATTTACATATTTTTTAATTAATTTTCATATTTTAAGTATGTGACTGCTCGATGTTTAAATCTAAAAAAAATATTACTAGAAAAATAGAAATAGTTTTTTAATTTTTTGTTCTCGTAATATTTTCTTTAGATTCAAACATTGAATAGTTACATGCTTAAAAAAAATGGTTGCCTGTAAAGTCGGTTTTACGGGCGAAGATTTTACGTGACAACGTCTTTTTCTCGGTAGAATATTTATTGATATGAATATAATTAAATTGCACAATAGGAACAAGGAATTGAATGAAAATAAGAATTGCACAAATTTTAACTATAGAAATATATTTTGTTTACTAAAACATTGTACATGTAAACTTAAACTCATCGTAACGTTACCGAGCGTTACACTTTTTCATAAGTGACTCCCAGCCGCAACCTAATTTAAGACGTTGTCACGTCAAAATTAAAATTATGACTTTAATTGCTATTTCTTCTTTTAAATGTTTAATACTTGTAAAGGTATGCATTTGACATTGTGGGTTACATATAATGCGACGAGATGGCGCTGCCTTGCAGCTTAAGAAAGGCTAGAAAGAATTCGATACGACCGTCAGGGCCGCGGTAGCATGATTGATCAGTGCATTCGCCCGGATAGCGAAGGGTGCGGGTTCGAGTCCCGTCTGCTGCTAGGTCCGCGTGGATTTTTTCTAATCATAAACATTACTTATTTACAATACATTTCTTTCTGTTGCCAATTCTTCACCCAGTATTTCCTTTTTTACGGTAATATATTTTTTGATAACACTGGGACCATCATCAACGCGTGTGTTTAGCTCAACATACGCCCGAACACTGAATAGCAGGCATGTGTGTAGAGACAAGCCGATATTGGGCCGACCGCCGTGCACCCTAGATTGTCCCTGCGGCCGGCATGTCAGTAGACGCTTTTAGAGCATCCAGCCAGAGTGATCGGAATTGAAATTTTATATTCACGCGTCGTAACTATAGTGTCTAGTAGTATATTAACTATAATAGGGAAATGTTGTGAATAAATAAATCGCAGGAACCGTTAGCGTCTATACTTCCAATTTAATAAATTCGTCAGTACATTAGCTTGAACCGAAGCTGACTAAACTACCTTCCAACGTGTGGATGTCATCACAAACTCTTGGCTGATATCTTTGCCATAATATTTGCTGAGAAGCTCGATGAAGCAGGTGGTTAGCGCGTTCGGCTGCGATCGTTGAAGTTAAGCAAAAAAAAATGGATGCCTGTAAAGTCGGTTTTACGGGCGAAGATTTTACGTGACAACGTCTTTTTCTCGGTAGAATATTTATTGATATGAATATAATTAAATTGCACAATAGGAACAAGGAATTGAATGAAAATAAGAATTGCACAAATTTTAACTATAGAAATATATTTTGTTTACTAAAACATTGTACATGTAAACTTAAACTTAACACGAGAGACTCATCGTAACGTTACCGAGCGTTACACTTTTTCATAAGTGACTCCCAGCCGCAACCTAATTTAAGACGTTGTCACGTCAAAAAAAACACTTACATTTAATCCCCTTATATGCGTTCCACAGGCAACCTCAAACTTTAGACAGAATTCGTATCTCTTGCGTGCAGGTAATAGTTTTAATGTTGTATCGTATCTGAGAAAACTGGCATTGATTTGTTTTACACTAGCGTTCCATCACTGAGGCGGGTATTAAGCAGTGCATTTTTCGACGAATAGGTTTACAATGCTTTTTTTTTGTAATTATTATGTTAAAAGTGTGCTTAATTATGTTGTAGTCTTAGATTAAAACAAAAAGGGTAGATACGGCACTAGCCTCACAAAAGTAATCCGCATGAATTGTGGTCCACGACCCTAATCGCTTTAGTCACAACTTGACATGCAAACGACGTACATGTGAACGCCCAAAAGAAATATTGCTAATATTTTGTGTTTATATGATAAAACAATGCCTAAGTGTGTTTTTAAAAAGTGCTCAAATTGCTCAAGAACTAAAAATAAAACCCACGGCATCACTTTTCATTCGTAAGTACTATAAAATATATTTTTTCATAGAAATTGCTGTTTGTTTTGAATCTTATTCGGTAGTGACGTCGAGTACTAGTCGCGTGATTGGTCGGTAGTGCAGTGACGCGGATCTCGCCGTCTCGTTCGCGCTGCCGTTGAAACTTAACATGCTGTTTCGCTCGGGTCGGTAATGCAGTGACGCGGATCTCGCCGTCCCGTTCGCGCTGCCGTGGGATCAGTTTTTGTTTGATGCAAGTATGAGCGTACCGTATCTACCCTTTTTGTTTTAAGCTAAGGTTGTAGTGTGCTTTTATTGGTGAAGACCTCTAATTGGCTTTCTGTTGTTATTTAAGTTTTTATTATTTTTATTAATAGCTGTTGGTCTTCCAAAAAATAAATAAACTTTCGCAGTGCTCGGTCATTGGATGGGTGACTAAAAATCTTCTATCTCGAGTTCCTCCCGTGCTTCGGAAGGCACGTTAAGCCGTTGGTCCCGGCTGCATCTGCACTTTTAAGCACCCGTCCATCAGCACTGACCCCGCGTGGTTGGTCATGGCCCAATCTCGCTATTCCATCCATAGGGAAGGCCTGTGCCCCAGCAGTTGGGACATTAATAGGCTGATGATGATGATGATTATTTGCTACAATGCTGGCCAACGTGTAGAGCAGGCATAACACCGCGTCCAAAGTTTATAACTGAAGTGTAACAAGCGCAGTGAACAATGTTCGACGCGCGGTTCTGTCCGATAATTAATTTAAACGGACTCAGTTGGAGCAGAAAATACCTAACTACCTACAACCTATTCCGCTTAACTATGACTGGAAATTCTAAATCTTACTTCTTGTTGTTACATTGAATTCTTTTTTTGAAGTGAAACTTCGTTTCGGATGGGAATTAAATGGAGAAATCTAATCTGGAGAAAAATATAAGTGTGTGTGTGTGTGTGTGTGTGTGTGTGTGTGTGTGTGTGTGGGATGCGTGCGAGCTCTTCCCGACGAGCATGAAAGTTGGAGGGTAACTCGACGAAGGCTGAAACGCTACGAACGTCATGAGCGTCACATGCGACAATATATATATATATATATATGTATATATATATATGTCAGTAATGCGTGCGCTACTCCATTCCCCTATGCCTTATGCTCCGCCTAATATTAAGTTATTTAAGAAAAGCGGTTTCACTTCAGATGTGTAGTCCGGGCACACAATTTTTTTCAGCTATGCAGGTGTGTGTGCCCAAAGGCATAGCTGGAGCATTAGGAGGAGCTCGATGGCGCAAGTGGTTAGCGCGTTCCACTGCGATCGTTGAAGTTAAGCAACTTTCGCAGTGGTCGGTTATTGGATGGGTGACCAAAAATTTACTATCTCAAGCTCCTCCGTGCTTCGGAAGGCACGTTAAGCCGTTGGTCTCGGCTGCATCTGCAGTCGTTAGCACCCACCAATCCGCACTGGGACCGCGTGGTGGGTCATGGCCCAATCTCCCTATTCCATCCATAGGGAAGATATGTGCCCCAGCAGTGGGGACATTAATAGGCTGATGATGATGCCTTTAACTACAATAGTGATGATGACGGAATAAAGTAAACATAATTGTATATCTTTTTGATTAATCTACCTGATAGATTGAAAAAATAAAATTTTGTGATCATTCCTATTATAGGATTTGTGTCTTAAAAAATATATTTATCGTTTTCTTAAATTAAAAGTATATTTAAGGTAAAGTAAAAAAAAAATTGGAATCGATGCCGGCCCAAACAGTGAACGGCAACTCAAATCTCTTTTACAGATTTAAGTGACATGGCACAGACTACAAATGAGATTTAATTCAAACAAAAAATCAATTTTCCTCCTATGAACTTTTAGGTGAAAAAGTGTGCCATAGAATGCTACTTAAAAAAAATCCCTGGTCGAGCTGAACGCTTTCCGAGTAACATTTTCTTTATAATAAACATTCAAAATAAAGTATATTTAGTTTTTATTTAAATAGATGTATTTTCTTCGATATTTGTTGTAAGTGTCGTTCCAGAAGGTCATCGATGGCTCATCCCACAGTGGTGCAATGGTAAAAGTAGAGTCGATCACGAGTGCGGCGGGGTTCCATTCCCGGCTAGGGAGCCATTTAACTGGCAACAATTCTGACATCGCTGGAGTTGGATCACTGAAAAAGACAAGATCGTTGAATTTGGTTTAAGAGAGGTTTTAGATAGGTTGGACATAGCGGATTTACCACCTTAGATTAAAACAAAAAGGGAAGATACGGCACTAGCCTCACAAAAGTGATCCGCATAAATTGTGGTCCACGACCCTAATCGCTTTAGTCACAACTTGACATGCAAACGACGTACATGTGAACGCCAAAAAGAAATATTGCTAATATTTTATGTTTATATGATAAAACAATGCCTAAATGTGTTTTTAAAAAGTGCTCTAATTGCTCAAGAACTAAAAATAAAACCCACGGCATCACTTTTCATTCGTACGTACTATAAAATATATTTTTTCATAAAAATTGCTGTTTGTTTTGTATCTTATTCGGTAGTGACGTCGAGTACTGGTCGCGTGATTGGTCGGTTGTGCAGTGACGCGGATCTCGCCGTCTCGTTCGCGCTGTTTCGTTCGGGTCGGTAATGCAGTGACGCGGATCTCGCCGTCCCGTTCACGCTGCCGTGGGATCGGTTTTTGTTTGATGCAAGACGTACCTACCATCTACTACGTAGATGACCGTACCGTATCTACCCTTTTTGTTTTAATCTAAGAAAATAACACTACCTTTTGGTGGTGTTGCATTTTTGTCGGTGACTTAGGCCCGTATTACAGAATGACAACTAAGTGTTGAATTTTACTTAAGAACAGTTAGAACGGGATGTCGCTATGTGCTATATATAGCGACATACCTTCGGGTGTCTTCTCCGCAGACATAAATATACATATCTCAACAGCATTGGGAGCATATAACACGGTCTTCCAGGCAGAGTGTGTGAGCATCATTAGAGCCACAGAGGCGATAGACTGCCGCGGGGTAAGAGGAAAACATATTCGTATTCTCTCTGACAGTGCTTCTGTCCTACAGGCACTGGACAAAAACATAATGATATCAGGCTTAATTTATGTACGCCACTGTAAATTATCCAATATTTTATCAATAGATTGACCTTACAATGGATTACAGGACACAGCGGCTCAAGGGGTAACGATGCGGCGGACTGCTTGGCTAGAGAGGGGTCCAGCATTACGGCCATTGACCCGGATCCAATTGAGAACCTGGATAACGGAGCACTGTCAAAGACAACACGAAGAATATTGGGCAAAACTCACTGAATGCAGGCAAGCTAGGGAAGCTGTTCCTAAGGTAAACCAGCAGCTATCACGTAAGTTAATCAGACTACCTAGATAAGCCCTGAAACAAATCGTGGGTATACTCACGGGTCACAGCTACTTCAACAAACACCTTTATAATATAGGTATTTCTGACAGCCCTCTGTGCAGAGCCTGCCTGGAGGAGGAAGAGACGAGCGCCCATGTTCTGCTGGAGTGCAGAGGCGTTGCAAGACAAAGGACTTCTCTAATGGGAAGCCCGTGGACACTAGTAGAAGCCTGTAGCAACATCCGGGGACTGCTGAGCTTTCTGGAGGTGCTGGGATGGCAGAACTGATGCCAATCACCACGCAAAACAGGCACTGGGTGTCGAGTTGCGGAAACAGCCCACCGTATTACTAAGACTAAGCGACATCCCTTTTTAACTATGCTCAAGACTGGGTCAATCACTAAAAATCTTTCTATAATATGGGCCTAAGATTCCAGGGATCCACGGTGTACGAGATTGGATTAGGCAAAGGTGTAACTGATATTTTTGGTATCGCAAGCATTTTCACTATAGGCTATGGTGGCCGCTTACCATCAGGGCCATAGGCTAGTATGCTACCCTTTGAATCCATACTTCTTCACAACAACAAAACACCACTGAAATAATCAAAAGTACCTAAATTCATGTGACCAATTGAATAAGTAAAAATAAATTGAATATGGTCTAAAATATCGTACCTGAATTTGGCGAAGTTCGTCCACATGGTAAGCATCCGCCTGCGGGTGGTATTTTCCAGCCATCGCTCAGGAAAAGGCAGTAAGTAACTACGCATCATATAGAACAGCTCGTCGCCATGACTTGCACCAACCACACTAGCGAAATTAGCACTAAACTTAGCTATATTCATATACCCACTGTACTTAAAATTATAAAAATATATTGGCTGGTCCGTGGTCCGTGCATATAAGGCCGTCTCCGTTCTAATAGGAAACTTGTAATACATATCTGAATACAAGTCTATCAAACGCATCACCAAATCTTCCTTCCCGGACGAAAAGTAAAATTTTTGAATTTTTTCGGCAGTCACATTTCGTTCCCTTTCACTGGGGAAAGTAAAAGCTTTTTTTATGTGCTCCACAACGTCAACTTCTTTAACATTTTTGCCGTAGTCTAATGAGACAAAAAATATTCCCTCTTTATTATTGTTGCCGACTATCATTGGCACTTTAGTATAATTCCCTGAATTTATTATGTCTAGAGGATATCCTGTGAGTATTGGTTCTACACCCTCTATTTCATTCTCAACACAGGGGCCAAACAGAATATGAGGCATTATCAGATATTTGGTTTCGGAACATGACGTTGTCGCTTTAACAAGCTCGAAATGAGATTTCTTTGAAATTATATCATACATTTCGTAAGGATCTTTGGTACGATATCCTAATTGATAGACTAGTTTGCTCGCTGTTTCTAAGGGGTCATATTGCATAGACCAGGGTGTTACAGAGGATCCGCTTTGCATGATAACTTTGTGGAAAAGTCCTCTAGCTGCCGGACTGAGCATCAAGAAGGACACCGAAGAAGCACCAGCACTTTCACCGAACACAGTAACATTGTCTGGATCACCTCCGAATAGCTTTATGTTGTTCTTTATCCACTTAAGAGCAGCTATTTGGTCTCTCAAACCTGTGTTTCCAGGCGCTTCCTTTATGCCTAAACACAGGAATCCTTCAACGTTAAGTCTGTAGTTGATGCCAACGAATATAACACCATGAAGTGTGAAATAGTCTCCTGCATAGAGAAAACGGTTACCAGCACCTTCTATGAAGCTACCTCCGTGGATGTAGATCATCACAGGGAGCAAACTTTCTGAATTAGAAGTGACGGGGCTATATATATTCAACTTTAGACAGTTCGGATCGAATCCTACTCGAATTGCCGAACCCAGCAGCATTTGGGGGCACCAAGTGTTATCATTGATTGCTTCGAATACACCGTTCCATGTTGGTGGTGGCAAGGGAGCCTGTAATGACAAAGGTCTTCACATAATATGTATTTTATCAATGCTAATTAGGGAGTGGCTTTGTCGTCAAATCTTCTATATTATTCAATATGTCTACTTTACAAAGCAAAGTTTAATACAGGGTTTACCAATAGGAACAAGGTATCTGTGACATATTAGATCATCTATTGGCGCAAATTTTTGATATATAATATATAATTGAAAGTTCGGCATTTTTTATACCACTGGCACTTACACAGTTGAGCAACGCATTGAAATGGTAAAAAAAGTATTGTCAAAACGGTAGCCCAATTCATCAAACCTTTCGTGCATTATGGGAAACTTGTGGCAATCGTCTGAAGAAGAACACTTTTCGTATAATAGTTAAGCAATTTTAAACTACTGGTTTGGGCTTTAAAATTCCTAAGAGATGCATGAAAGGCCGTTGCATTCTGAAAGAGTGATTATCTGATGCGTATTTTAGCCCTTTTTGAGAATAACGTTAGTGTTGCCCTTATTGTGAATTGGTGATCATCACTGGATTACAATTCAGTATTTTTTTGCCCGTAATTGAAAGAAATTGATCTGAGGGACATTTTGTTTCAGCAGGGTAGGGTCACCTCTCATATTGCCAGAGAAACTTTAAATTTATTGAAAGAGAAATTCAACGTGTTCCGATCTAAATATTCAGATAAGACATGGTCTCCAAGACCATGTGATTTAATGCCCTTTGATTATTTCTTTTGGGGCTATGTAAAATCACTGGTGTATGCTAACAATTTAAGAACTGTCGACGACTTAAAGCGCTTAAAAAAATAAGAAGCGTCATCAACGCGATAGAGGTGCCAGTATTTCAAAAAGTAATGAAAATTGGATCTCTCATATTGAGGCTACCAAGATGATAATTTAAACAATGTCGTATTGACACATTTTTTTAATCGAATTCATTTATTCATCCTTATTGGGAAACTCAATACAAAACCTACACTGTCTGAGCTCAAGTTCACTAATACATATGGCTTACCTGTGCTATTTTAAAGTATTCATTCCGTCATTAAATTGTTCCCACAAAGCAAAACATCTATTATATAAGCATATTTTCTTAAGTTAATTCTTCTTGATCCTTTTCATATTAGTATAGTCGATATCACGAAAAGCAGTTAATTACATAAAGGAGGAGAAAGGAGTAGAGAGAGAGTTGAAATTCAGTGGAAAGTGGATAGAAGGAGTAAGAGTACTACAATATATTGACAGCATCATACCTTATGTATTTTACTGTGAGTGGCAACGGAAGACATAAATAAGATATTGGTGCGTCAAAGACGCGCTGTGAAGACGACATCTTTAAAATGAAGCCTAAGCCTACGAAATATAATTGGACTAACATTCCCTACAGATAAATATATTTACACCAAGTAGCCTGTTCTTACTATGCGCATGTGTGATAAAATGCCAGCGACGTCATATTGCAAACGTAAAAGTTAATTTAAAATTTGTTATAACTTTTAGTACATTGGATTTGGTGGACTCATACTTGACAATTGATTTCGTTACTCGGTATGTAACTTGGTAAAAGATGTACTCGTATGTTTACGTTATTTACAACTTCTCGTGAGTCCAACTGTTCAACACTTACATAAGTGAATTTAACGTAATACCTACTTGACATTTCAAACATTTTTCAAGGTCAACTGGTATGGACACCGGTTATCAAGGTGACGCCTACTCAGAGGTCCTGGGTTCGAATCCTAGTGGGGCAAATGTTTATATGAAGAATACAAGCATTTGTTCCCAAGTCATGAATGTATATACATATATATTTTTGGATAAAATATACATACTTAATATACATATATACATACTTACTCCACCACCAGGTTAAGTAAGTACAGTGAAAAAAAAACTTCACAGGCTTGTAACCCATTTATTGTTTATGAATACTTCTTCTGACAAACGAAAGTAGTACGTTTCGCATTAAGAATAAATTACAATAAAATACCGTTATATGTTACCTTGAACCGATTAGTTTCATCCACGGTAGCGTACGGCACGCCCAGATACTGGTAAAAGGTACCTCCAGGGTCCAGGCGGCCCCTTAACAGCCCGCTGGAGACCCTCACCACGGGGGAGGGTATTTGGACTAGCCCGGTAGCGATGAGCGTCGTCAAAGCCACCCACTTCATAACTGATACAACCATCCACACTCCGCCGCATACATGACCTTTGACACAAGCACGTGTAAAAATAACACAGTATTTACTTAAAAGAAAATTAATATTCTACTAAACACGTAGTGTGAATATTTTTTTCAACATTGAAAGGTTTGTTTGATTCAAAACTAAGTTCTAAGTTCCTAGGTCACATTTATAAACAATGAGTGTCCCAAATGGGAACCTTGCGGTACGCCAAAGGTAATTGTTGATGTCGGACTATAAAATGAACTTTCAAGGTTTCCAGGCATATTGATTTGTGAAGATAAGTAAGACGCAACAAATTATCACTGGTTTCATAAGCCACATGTTTCTGAAACTTTATCGAATGCTTCTGATGAAGTAAAATACAGTCTATGACGCTTGATTTTCCTGTGCACATCTTTTCATTTATTATTTATATTTTTCATTGTAACAAATTATACATATAATATTGTGATGTTTTTATAATCTTCCTCAGATAATGATGTTCCTGCCCCACTGCTGTGGCACAGGCCTTGAAATAAGAAGACGGGCCATGAACCCAATCCATGGGTCCATCATTCGTCCAATCTTTAATCGAAAAATAATACTGTTCCTCATTCAATTCAAACAAAGAAACGTATAGAGAATAAAATGAAACAGGCTACTTCGTTATTGTTTTACGGAGAACAAGGGAAGTTATCAAATTAAGGGTTACCGCATAGCAAACAATGAACTTTGGAACAGATTTATTTTATAATAGAGATGTGTGTTTGTAATATATGAGGAAGGGTACAAAACTACACACTCGGCCTAACCAGGCGTAACCAGACCTAACCAAACAAGGAAGCCTTTTATAACACTGTACCGAATTCATAATACATCTATTTACATTTCATCATATTGTCAGAGCGAAAGAGAAACTTAAGCTTCGCCAGAATTTATTTCACCTCGGTACATTGTGAAATTATAGTAATATAGCTGACCCAGCGAACTTCGTACCGCCATAAAAAAATAAAGGTTGATGGTAGAAGGGTGAATTTCTAGGGTTATATGTATTTACTAATGCTGTATCATTAAAAAATAAAAAATAAAATATCTAAAATTGAAAAAAAAAATTAGGGGTAAATTTACCCTTAACATTTAGACCTACCCAATATGCACACATCATGAGAATCGGGAAAGCCGTTTCGAAGGAGTTTAACCACAAACACAGCGACACGAGAATTTTATATATTAGATAAGTTATTTACGGGATTGTTACCATGTATCTTGTTTTTAGCGAGTTTCCGATATTTCGGCACTGTTGCAAGCCATAATCACGGAGTGACGGTTCAACAGTTACTAGTAGTAGTGATCATGGCGCTTGCAACAGTGCCGAAATATAGGAAACTCGCTAAAAACAAGGTACATGGTAAAAATCCCGTAAATAACTTATATTACTATAATGTTAAAGACCATGAAAGTTTAAAACAATATATTGTGAAATTATTTTCAGAAATTGAGCAGTTTCGAATTATTAGGTACCAATTCAAGGAGGAACTCGATGGCGCAAGTGGTTAGCGCGTGCGGCTACGATCGTTGAACTTAAGCAACTTTCGCAGTGGTCGGTCATTGGATGGGTGACCAAAAATTACTATCTCGAGCTCCTCCGTGCTTCGGAAGGCACGTTAAGCCGTTGGTCCCGGCTGTATCTGCAGTCGTTAGCACCCAGCAATCCGCACTGGGCCCGCGTGGTAGGTCATGCCCTATTCCATCCATAGGGAAGGCCTGTGCCCCAGCAGTGGGAACATCAATAGGCTGATGATAATGAGTATGATGAGGTACCAATTTTAAATTAATAAAAATGCTTAAAATTGCCAAATTGTGAGTTGCACTTTTACAAAGGATTGCATACCATCAAACATTTGAATAAAAATACAACTTTGTTACTTTTTCAGCTGTCTAACCGGTTCCTCTGACAAACGGCCGGACAAATAGTGGAAACTTTGTAATTGGGGTTTGATGTTAGCCTTTGGGTACGAAACTCTGTCAATTTAAAAACAATAATTGCTTAGAAGTAACATAATCACTACTTCTACTAAAGACATCTGGGGTTTTTCACAAATGGAGTTCCTTCAAAAATATTCTGCGCAATCACGTTGCAAAGCGTCTTTATTTAACGCACCATCAAATAAATTATTTTGATTAGGTTGCGGCTGGGAGTCACTTATGAAAAAGTGTAACGCTCGGTAACGTTACGATGAGTCTCTCGTGTTAAGTTTAAGTTTACATGTACAATGTTTTAGTAAACAAAATATATTTCTATAGTTAAAATTTGTGCAATTCTTATTTTCATTCAATTCCTTGTTCCTATTGTGCAATTTAATTATATTCATATCAATAAATATTCTACCGAGAAAAAGACGTTGTCACGTAAAATCTTCGCCCGTAAAACCGACTTTACAGGCAACCATTTTTTTGTTGATTATGGCTGTGTGGCGATTCTACGAATGTTCTAACAGGTTCTAACAGAAAATTTACTGGGAGAGATTGGCATGAAATGGTCAATTTTCTACAAAGTGAGAAAATAAACTTACTTCGGATGGAATGGAGTAATCTGTTCGTATTTTATGTAAAAAGAAAAAAGACTGCCCATGTGTTTTGTACTATGAAATATTAACGTTTTGAAGCCAATCATTATGCAACCTTTATTTCTTCTGTCTGTATATTTGTTGTTAGATACCTCCTTGACAAATGGCTGGACCGAATTCGATGAAATATTATAGGTATGTGGAGTCGAGTGGGTCTCTAATCGGATTAGATTTCATAACTAAACCTTGTAGATTGCTTTGTATTCTGAATCTAGAATTTCTTCTGAACTAAGGTATTCCAAATCCAAAACGCGTAGGTACAATAATAAAGATTTGTTTTTATTTTATTCAAATACATTAGGTACTTAAATATCAAATTTTGAGTATTCAATTATTTTTTTGCCGCTATAAATTATTTGTAGTATTTTTACATATTGGCCTATTAAAATCACAGCAGTCACCCTTATTACTAAAACTCAACATGTTGAGATGGTGAAAACCATAGTCTTTTCTTCTGTATTTATTGTAAGTGTCGTTCCAAAACCGCGCAGAGGATTCGTCCCAGAGTGGCGCAGTGGTTAAAATGTGGTCGATGACGAGCGCGCGCGGGTTCCATTCCCGACTGGGAAGCCACTTTATAGGCAACAGATCTGAAGTCACTGGAGTGGGGTCACTGAAATATAAAACAAAATCTAATTTACATTTTTTATTTTTTAATCATGTAACCGCTTGATGTTTAAATCTAAAGAAAATATAACTAGAAAAAAATCCACGTGGACCAGGCAGCAGACGGGACTCGAACCAGCACCCTTCGCAATCCGGGCGAATGTACTGACTTATTATGCTACCGCAGCCCTGACGGCCGCGTCGAAATTCTTCTAGCCATTGTTAAGCTGCAAGGCAGCGCCATTTCTTTGCATTGTAGGTAACCCACAATGTCAAATGAATACTTTTACAAGTATTAAACATTTGAAAGAAGAAATAGCAATTATAGTAATAATTTTTATTTTTAAGCATGTAACTGCTTGATGTTTAAATGTAAAGAAAATATAACTAGAAAAAATATAACTATAATTCTTCTAGTTATGTTTTCTTTAGATTTAAAATCTAATTTTACAAATTTTTGACAAACATCCATTAGCTATGCGTTATTTATTTGGTTGCGTAAAGAAATGAAATGCATAAATTCAAATAATTTCAGCTGCGGAAAGAAAAATCTCAGCGTGAATAATTTATTACTCTATTTTATTCTATGCTTTTTTGAGAAATTTATCTCGAAATAAGTAAAATAATGTAAATCACCTTCTTTCAAGCTGATTAAGTTATATAAGATAATGCATGAACTCTGGATATTTTATGTGTAAATATCAAATATCCAAAGGGCTGTTGCATTTTTTTAATAATAAATAAATAATAATAAAAATATTTCCAACACTCACACCAATTAGACTAGCCCCAAAGTAAGCACTGTAAGGCTTGTGTTATGGGATACTAGGGTAACGGATAGAATACATATCAGTACATATATAAGTATATTTATATAGAAAAACATATTTAACAACCACGACTGGAGTACAAATGCTCGTATTCATCTCACAAACATCTGCCCCCACCGGGATTCGAACCCGGGACCTCTCGAGTAGGCGACACCATGAAACCCGTCGTACAAACCACTCGGCTATGGAGGTCGTCAACAGTAGCTGCTCCGTGCTTCGGAACGCACGTTATGCCGTTGATCGCGGTTGCTTCTGCAGTCTTTAGCACTGTGATCGTGTGGTGATTCATAACCCTATTTCCCTATTCTAGGGTTTCCAACCTCAAATTTAAAAAAAACAGGATTTGTAGTTGGAAATACCAGGACAATTCAGTTTAAAGACAGGACGTATTCATAGAGTTGCAATAGTTAAATAAATATCGAGTGAAAACAGGTGAAATGAAATTCAAGTAATTAAAATAATTACATTTTTTAAATAAAATAATTTGAAAAAATATACGAGTTTAAAACTAGTTAATAAAATATAAAACAGAATCTTTAGTTTCTAACATTGGTTTTAAAAACTAAGTTAGTTATAATATCTAATACATTCTTATATTATTAACTTACTAATTTTTACTGTACTTTTCAACCCCATTAATTTCCTTCAGAGTAAGCAAATTATTATAAAATTGGTCACACTTCATATCTATGTTATATAGTTTTCACTATTGCAGCTACTGTTGTTAGCAGTAATCGATTTCTTTCTTTTGACCACTGTGAATTTATGAGGGAAAAGACCCTCGACATTAGCGTTATGACCCGGTATACTAAATTCATCATACATACGCGCTACGTCATTCTAAAAACGCCCATCCCTATTACTTGCGAGCCGTGAGGCCGCTCGTAGCGTAAAAACTTGAGAAGAGGCGCGCGAATTACAAAATTTAAAAACCCAGGACGCTGCTTAAAAACTATTCAGGACGTTCCAGGATACTACAAAAACTAGGACATGTCCTGGGAAAACAGGATGGTTGGCAACCCTACCCTATTTTTTTTTATTTATTTATCATTATAAACTGTAGTAACAATTTAATATTTACAGCATTAGAAAACCACAGAGGTTTGCAGCAATGCTACTAATGCTATTCCATCAATATGGAAGGCCGAGGATCCCAGAAGTAGGAAGCACGAGGGTAATAGGTTGATGATGTTTCTCATAAATCACGTCGTTTACTTGATTTATTAAGTATATATGTATTTAAGAATATAATCTACCTGTATTTTGCAAAATTGGTCCACATTGTGAGCATCATCTGGAGTGTGATCTGGTCGTGAAGATCAAACCAACGCTGCGGCATTGGCAGTACGTTAGGTCGCATCATGTAGAACAATTCATCAGCATGAGACGCTCCTCTGACCCCCGTGAAAAAGGACACCATTTTTGGGACATTCATGTACCCGCTGTATCGGAACAGGTAGAAGAACAGTGACTCGTCCGTCGTCCGAGCATACATTTCCATCTCTATAATCGAAGGAAACTTGAAATGTAAATCTGAATATAAATCAACCACACTCATTATCAGCTCATCTTGCTCAGACGAGAAGTAGTAATCTCTGACTTTATTTGCCGTATCGTTCTTCTCCAATGTACTGGAAAATACTAGATCATTTTTAAGGAACTCCGCAGTGTCCACTTCTTTGACACTAGTCCCGAAATCTTTAGCAACAAAAAATATACCTTCCCTGTCATTGTATCCTATTATCATTGGTACTTTGGTATAGTTTCCTAAACTGATTATTTCTAATGGAAACTGTGTGATTATTGGTTCCACGCCTTCAATCTCGTTCTCAACACATGGCACAAATAAAATATCTGCTGTTACCCAATTCTTGGTTTCAGAATACTTAATCGCCTGTATAAGATCGTTGTAAGGTATATTTGAAAGTATGTTATATATTTCATGAGGATCTTTGGTATTATAACCGAATTCTTTGACTAGAGCACTCGCTATACCTATAGGGTCATGTTGGATTCCCCAGGGTGCCAAAGAGGAGCCACTTTGCAGGATGGCTTTATGAAAAAGTCCATTGGCCGATGGAGAGAGCATTAGAAAAGATATTGACACTGCACCAGCGCTTTCACCGAATAGGGTCACATTATCTGGATCACCTCCAAAAGCTCTAATATTTTGTTTTATCCATTTCAAAGCTGCGATTTGATCTTTGAGTCCTGCGTTTCCGGGTGCTTCTTTGATCCCTAGACATAGAAACCCTTCAACATTTAGTCTGTAATTGATACCAACGAATATGACCCCGTGATCTGTAAAGTAATCCCCCCCGTAAAAGAATCTGGTTCCGGATCCTTCAAAAAAGCATCCTCCATGGATGAACACCATGACGGGGAGAAACCTCTCAGTTGGTGCTAGACTTGTCGTGACAGGTGCGTAAATGTTGACCTTTAGGCAGTTCGGGTGTCCAAGAGGGATATTTGTTCCAAAAAACTTCTGTGGACACCATGTATTTTCTTCGACGGCATTGTACACTCCCTCCCACGTCGGAGGTGGCAGAGGAGCCTGTAAATATAGAATAATGAAATTTGAACCAGGTTATTTTTTGAAGCGAATATGAATTGCTGAATACTATAATGCTCAAACTTCATGGCTTTTCGTATTTGCCTTATCTAAATTTAACGGCATTCTCTCATTTATCGATATTTATAGGGCACGATAAGGATATAGCGCGATCAAATTTAGGTAAGGCATATACCAATAGCGATGTGAAGAGTCACTACTTCAATATATTTATAAATTTATAGATTTTTATATTAATAGATTGGCCGGATCCAAGATGACATTTACAAACAAGGGCTGCGTTCCAAACCTACGTCTCAGGTGCAACAAATGACAGATTCGATAGATGTTGCATACTTTTATGTCAAAATTGAAACGTAAGAGGGACAAGTTGAACTTGGAGCGTAGGTTTGGAACGCACCCAAGCTATAAAAAGAACACTGCCTTTTTCGATTTATATATTTGGTATGATGCATATGACGTCGCACGCCATATTGTGCAATATTAAATTATAGCGGCATATTTAAAGAATAGATGTTTATTTTCGATTTTATTTATTTGTGTAACAGAATATCTATCCAGTGTCTAGACTTCTTATTGGTGATATAATGACTTCGAACATAAAAGATCCTTGTAAATATGACTTGTTTGTGCTTATATTAACTTTTTTCATCGCGGTGCTAATAATAGTAATAATTTATTGGATACTAAAACAATATTATAAGCGTTTAAAGGTTCTGGATGGTTTAAACTTCTTGCATTGTATAGATTTACTTGTAAAATTTCTATCCATGTTAAGTCCAATTTCCCATACAAAGTGGGCATTGCCCTTTATAAGCAAATTTAACGTTTGTATCTTAATAAGTTGTCTAAACTGATTTATTTCATTGATTATCAAATAGCATTATGTAATAACCATTGTCTAATTCCACCCAATCCATCACCCTCTTCAATTCTGTGCTAATCATTTACTAGGTCCTTTTTATTTATATTTATCAAATCCGGGACATTTGCACCTCCCCCCCCCCTGATAAAGCATTAAATCAAACCCCTCATCACCCCCAAGAATTAAAACATCAAGCAGTCCATCGATGTCATTGGTTATTAGTTTATTTTGTTACGAAACTAGCGCATTATCGGAATCGGGGACAATATGGTCTAATTAATGGATATGAGACAAGTCGCAAAATTCCGGGACAATCCCAGATTTTGCGGCCATTTGGCAAGCCTAGTATTATATGATCGTGTTGTTGATCATTTCTTACTTTATTGTCATCAACACGCCATTGTTTATGCATTATTATCTTTTAGGTACTTCATTTCTAATAATTAGGAATATAGAAGAAAACAGCATAGCAAAACAATTGCTATTTTATTTTCGTCTATAGTTACCCGCCTACTCGAACATTATCGGATTAGAAAAGGTTGATAAAATGAACGGTACAAAGGTAGCGATATTGTTCAATATCTCCAGATTCATTAGGAATAAATCATAATACTAAATTTAATTTACTGAATTCACAAAAATATCTTATTTTCAATTATAATTTAGATTTATTAAAGCCATAATATTTTCTTCGGTATTTGTTGTAAGTATCGTTCCAGAAGGTCATCGATGGCTCGTCCCACATTGGTGCTATGGTTAAAGTGGAATCGATCACGAGAGCGGAAGGATTCCATTCGCGGCTGGGGAGCCATTTAACTGGCAGCAGTTCTGATATCACTGGAGTAGGATCACTAAAAAATAAAAAAAATAAAATTTAAAAGGCGTGATTTTAATAGCATTTTGTTAATAGGTATAGAGAAAGAGTTAACGTAAAGGTTTCGTTATATTGAAAATATTACGATTGTACTCATAGACGAGAACGCGTGAGTTCTATATGGAGAATTTATCAAATGATAAAATGAAAATTTTTTTATCAAAAATAAAACCAACTTCAAAATCGAAAATGGAACTAAAAAGTAAAAAATAATATCTGGTTCATGAACTGGTTTGGAAGTCGGGCAGGTCAAGATTGAAAGACGTTATTACTGATCAGAAACGAAAATCTATTTAATTTTTCAATCTTTCCTCCAACTTTCCAAATCGTGAACCAGATATTATTTTTTTACTTTTTAGTTCCATTTGCGATTTTAAAGTCGGTTTTATTTTTGTTTCAATGTCTTTTTATTTCATCTTTTTTAGTGAAAATTATTGCGTCCAAGTAAACCATAACACAATTGACGGAGAAATCGGAGAACATGCATAATAATGAAAGTTTCCCTCGATTTCCCCGGATTCCACCATCAGATCCTGACTTGGTTCCAATGGGTCCACCTCCAAAGTGTATACTCTTTCGAATAAAAAAAGAATTTTGGAAATCGGTCCACAATTGACGAAGAAATCGGTGAATATACATAAAAAAAATATGTATACATTCGAACACAGAACCTCCTCCTTTTTTGAAGTCCGTTTAAAAGACGTGTCAGATGAAAAATCATTTGTCAATTACAATAAATAGTTGATTTATTTGCAAATTTGCAAAAGATGAAAAAGAAACGGTTTTTAACCATTATGAATGTTTGACGACTGTCCGTAATTTTCTTCTCGATTAAGATGTAGTTTTGTAAATAAATGTAACGCGAGACTTACTATTGATATCATTAAAATTTAAATATCTTTGACTTTGCAACATCCATGTTGGACAATATAAAAATATGTCAACTTAGTTACAGAATACTTATTCTCATAGTAAATAAAAATCCTAATTTCAAAATTTATATTACGTGGAGCCTAGAATTAACTGACACAAGATTAGATAATGTGGAAGCTATATCAATAGGTAGGTACAATGAATTTTATTTCAAAGCAGTAATAAGTAAGAAATATATACACTGTGGATGTGGAAGTGTGTCAACTACCAGCCAGGTTCCTAAGAAAAATACTATCGCACTTTTATTTTTTAAATAGAAACCTTTAAATTAAATCATAAAAGAAACGAAACTGGCCTACAAATAGTACCTGAATTTGGCAAAGTTTGTCCACATGGTGAGCATTCGCCTGCGGGTGGTATTTTCTAGCCATCGTTCAGGAAATGGCAGCATGTAACTTCGCATCATATAGAAAAGCTCGTCAGCGTGACATGCACCTACCACAGCCGCGTAATTAGAACTAAACTTCGGAATGTTCATATATCCACTATACTTAAAACAGTAGTAATATAAAGGTTCTTTTGTAGTTTTTGCGTACAAATCTATTTCGGTCTTCAAAGGAAATTTAAAATGCATATCTGAATAGAAATCTACCAAATGCATTACCAGCTCCTCCTCTCCAGACGAGAAGTAAAATTCACGTATTTTCTCAGCGGTCAAATTCTTCTCTTCTTTGCTAGGAAATACCAAATCGTTTTTTATGAGCTCTACAACATCCACTTCTTTTACACTAGTCCCAAAATCTCTTGCTACAAAATATATGCCTTCTTTGTCATTATTTCCAACTATCATTGGCACTTTAGTGTAATTTCCTGAATTTATTATATCTTGAGGATACCTAGTGATTACTGGTTCCACGCCGTCTATTTGATTCTCAACACATGGTCCAAACAAAATATCAGCTGCTATCGAATGTTTGTGTTCAGAATATTTAATCGATTTTATTAACTCGAAGTGAGATCTATTTGAAATTATATCATACATCTCGTATGGATCCTTAGTGTGATATCCTAACTGATTGACTAGATCGCTCGCGGTTTGCAAGGGGTCATGCTGGATTGACCAAGGTGTCACAGAAGCTGCGCTCTGCATGATGGCTTTGTGGAAAAGTCCTGTAGCTGCTGGAGTAAGCAACAAGTAGGAAACGGAAGCGGCACCAGCACTCTCACCAAACACAGTAACATTATCTGGATCACCTCCGAACGCCTTGATGTTATTCTTTATCCACTTAAGAGCAGCTATTTGGTCTCTCAAACCTGTATTGCCAGGCGCTTCCTTTATGCCTAAACACAGGAATCCCTCAACGTTAAGTCTGTAATTGATACCAACGTATACAACACCGTAATCGGTGAAATAGTCTCCTCCATAAAGGAAACGATTACCGGACCCTTCGAAGAAGCTACCTCCATGGATATAGACCATAACGGGGAGCAAACCTGCTGGGTCTGCAGTGACTGGAGTATAAATGTTCAGATTGAGACAATTTGGATCGAACCCTATTAAGATTTCTGTACCGAGGAGCCTTTGGGGGCACCAAATGTGTTCGTTAACGGCCTCTAATACGCCCTTCCATGTTGGCGGCGGCAGGGGAGCCTGTAATGATAAAGATTATTATGATTTTTCTATCCAAAACATTATTTGAACTTGCTTCGGGTAAAGAGATTTTTCTCATCAATTTTACTAAATTAAATATTTTGAATATTAGTTCTTCTTAAGCTAAAATCCATTAATTGACTACTATGAAAGCTGAAACAAAGCTGAACTAAATCCAAAGCGGTAAAGATTAGTATTTTATACAGAAGTGCTTATTTATTTTTTGTATAAAGTATGTTGTACGAGAGCATAAGATGGCTGAAGTTTATAAATAGTATAAAATAGTAGATAATTACGATTGTAAGAACATTAAAGAATATAGAACGAAATTAATTCATTATTTAGAGAATTACATATATAAAAATGTTAGTTTTTTTTGTTCATAGATCATGTACATTTCAGATCAGTAGGAAAAAATATAAATAAAATATGAAGGAATCAGAGAGCCTACCAAAAAATGTAAACAAAAATCGGCCGAAGTTCGTCGTTAAATTTTAAGTCTTATTATTATACCTGACAACGGAATTTGAATATTTCAGGCGAAGAATTCCGTCCGACAAAGTAGAACAACTTTACACCTATCACTCCTCAGTATAATAGTGAACGCGAAATTGGAATGTTTCTATTTGGGGTCCAACTTGGATCGTAGAGCTTTTAATGTCATTATTTATTATGCATATCAGCGGATGGGAACAACTTCATTTCGCAAAATATCATTTGACATTAACCCATTTAGCAGACATTCAATATGCGTTTGATGTTGTTAACCAGAATCGTCTTTCGGCTTGAATTTAATATCCACAATAATTGAAAAGAAATCATATCAGAGAAATTTCACAGTAAGTCTTTTGGCATAAAATTAAGTAACTCTCCCTTGTTTTTTTATATTGTAAAACAATTCTACGATCTTAACAGTATGATATTATGAATTCGAACTTATAAAAATTCGGCCAAACAACAATTCTATTTACAATCAAATATGCCTTGAAAATAATCATTTAAGGAAAGTTATGCCAAATGAATTCCGGAGTTACAAGATTTAGTCAGATAGGAGGAACCCTTCTTTTTGTATACAGTCTAAATAATCTTAAATAACAATAAATTGTATACGTGTGAAGATAACGCGAATCAGTACTAATAAATTTAAGAAAGACAGAAGAAGTGTGTTGTTTATAACAATTATATTACAACAACTTAGCTTGTTAATAACATGCAATAAGAAATACTTAGCAGAGCATTATATTAGTATTTTAAAGCAAAACTAGACATTCGCTTAATATATCTATAAATATTTATAGACGTATTATGGGAGAAGTTACTTACAAATTATTGTATCTCGCTCGACCTTTTACCGACGGAACAAGCAAACACTAAAACAATTCACGTCTCCAATTTCGATAATTATTTGTTGTCCAATAAAAGAAATCGAATGGCAAATCGTCGAACGCTGGCTGACACTCGACAGGCTTTAATTAAACATTAAGCACGCACACTTTGTTGACTTTTGCGAGCCAATTAAAATACTGATAAAAAATATTCTTACTCTCGAATGAATTATAAGATTCTATTTCTGCCCCAATTTTTGTTGTTGTTTTCAATCCTTTAGAAATGAAACACTTTGACTTCAGCGGGAATAAAATATTTGTTTCTTAGCTTTTCACGCACAGTACTCATTAAATAAAACTAGTTTTAACGGGTTAATGAACGAAACTTTATTTATTTATTGACGTTTCGCAGCCTTTTCAGGTCTGCATCGTCAGAATAATGATTTTTATTTAATTTTGTCGAGCTACCTTCGAAAGACTATATTGAGCGTTCGGTTATTTCATTGGAAGATTTTTAAAATTTTATCGTCTATGTATGAATTTATTAGTTAATTTAGTTAATAAAGTACTTTATTTAATTTTCTTTTTTGTAATTTTGAGTTTATTTATTTGACCCTATCTACCGTAAACTACCACTGGTTCCAAATCCTTTCTGAGAGGAACCGGCGAAACAAACTCAGAGAGGCTTTCTATCTCCTTCTTATGTTAAATCATGCAAATAAAATGAACTAATAGTATCTGTTGGTCTTGCATTGTGTGCTCGGGGTTGGGATTTTATCTCTTGTATAATGGGTTCCCAAGCTGGTGGTATATAAAATGTTTAATACCACGATAACATCACGCCACCGATATGGTAAATAAACCACTTCTTGATGATTTGTTAACACTTCAAATTCAATTCCTAAATGTTTTGCTCAAGACAATGACCGTGTAATTTTGCTTTGAAATTCACGGTGTCAGTCTCACCTGGAATCGGTTAGTTTCATCGACCGTCCCATACGGCACGCCGAAGTACTGGTAGTAGGTGCCCCCTGGGTCCAGGCGACCCCTCAGCAGCCCGCTGGAGACCCTCACCACTGGCGAGGGTATCTGGACCAGCCCAGCCGCGATGAGCGTCGTCAAAGCCACCCACTTCATCACTGACACAACCATCGACACATCGACATGATGTAAAATTGTTTTTCAAACCTTTGACAAGCACGCACACATTTAAAACAAAGTCAAGGTTGCCTTTAAAGAAAACTTTGTAACAAAACACATGTATGTAGACTTTTAACATTTCCTTCAAAATTTCATCTGAACTGGTAACATTTTGTACATTAACTAGTTTCGTTGATACAGAATCAAACATTCTTACACAAGTCAAAGTTTATTGTGTTTCTCGCGCACTTTGAACCGACCTTCATTTACATTTCCCAACCTTCACAACAGGTATCTGTGGACAAATTGAATATCGATTAGATATTATGACGAGCAAAGATAAAATGCGTGTAAATCAACTGAAATGCTGCATTATAGATAACACTCGTTAACTAACGGATAATACAATTAAATATCGTGATTAACAAAGAATCGCGTCTGTATTTATGTGTTACACACAATACAATACAAAATTAGTGGTCATCGCAGCAATAGCACAAAGCAGCCATAATTAAACAAATTTCAACAAAATTAGCAAAGGAATACTATTAAGTCTATTATATTAAGCCCAAGGAGTCTTATCATTTAAGAAATCTTTAACAGTATAACTAGTCTGCCCATAAATACTGTTACATAAAAACTTTCATTTTATAGCTAATAACGGAATGGTTACCATGTACCTTGTTTTTTTTTCAGTTACTCCGTGATCATGGCGCTTGCAACAGTCCCGAAATATCGGAGACTCATAAAAAACAAGGTACATGGTAACAATCCCGTTAATAGTTATAATGTTAGTGACCATGAAAGTTTAAAACAATATAACTTTCATTTTATTTCAACTTTTTAATTATTTTGAATATGGAACATGTATATTATTTTAAAATCTTCTTTCGATTTTGCGCTATTTCACATATTTTTTCGTGTTCATTATCAAATTACAATATGGAGTATGGAATGAGGTGTTTAAGAAAATAGGATTAAGATAAGTGCGCCTAAAAAGGGCCGGTTCCAAATAAGGTCCATATTTATCTAAATTTTGTTTCATTTTCTCAGGACACATGTGATTGCCTAAGAAGGTCCAAGTTGTTGTCTACAAATAAGGGCCGGCCCTTATTGGTTTACGATATTTTAAAATAGGCATGATCAGTTACATAAATGACTTATATGAGTGTAAATAAGCAGCCTGGCCTAGCAAGTGGCATTTATATACGTTTATTTTGATTACTGAATAGAATATTATTACTATATTATTATTATAATAGAATAATATTTAATAAGGATAAGTATATACACACTGAACCTTTAAGTTCAGTGGTTGCCGTGTTACCTGTTAGAAACACTTAATAAGGTCCACACTATGATTAAATAAGTGTTATACCTAATAAGGTCCCAAGATTAAAACTGAAAAAATAACTCATTAGTAACTTTTAGTGATTGTCTTTAGTAAAATTAATAAAAATTTGCACAAACCTTCAATTTGTTTCATTTATAGCTAGAAAATATATAAGTTACAACTTATATATATTTCGTATGACTTTATAAGGGCCACAATACTAAATTATATGAATTACGGTTTTAATATTGAAAAGCCATGAAGTTGAAAGTAGTTTAAAGCCGTTGCTATCTAAAGATTTATTTTTTCTGATACTCAACGTCTGAAATCTTGCAGTTCAATCATGGACCTTAAACAAGCTTTTAAAAAACTTTTTTTGTAAATAAATGGTCATTCGTGTGTTGTTTTTGTGCAACGTTTTCTTTTCAAATAAAAACAGTTTGGTTGATCATGACGTCGTACTAATTATCACACTTCCAAACATTGATTTATTTCGATTTCCAAAAACCCGGCCCTTATTAGACGCAATTACCTTATAGTGATCGCCTTGCAAAAAGTGTGTACGGAGCCGTCGGTCATATTCCAAACACTTCAAAAGCTTGGTATCAGCCGTATGTTCGTATATCGTACTATCAACAGATACAACATCAATTCGTCTGTCAAATACCAGAAAAGATCGGGGCGGCCGCGTGCTGTTAGAACTACAAAGGCTGTTAATGCTGTTAAAGCCAGAATTCGTCGAAACCCCATTAGAAAGCTAAAAATCTAATCGCGTGAAATGAAGAATTCCCGCTAGGACTCTGTCGCGTATTACAAAACAAGACCTGAAGCTCGGTGGTTATCTTCGATATACAGGACATGCATTAAATCAATCTTTACAATTAAAGAGAGTGAATAGATCAAAACGCCTTCTGTCGCAATACGCAGGTGAAAAGCACAGAAATCTATATCTATACTTATAATAAATCTGTAGAGATGTCAATTCTGTACATGAAATATATTTTTAAAATAACTATCAGGGGGTGATTAGTGATCGATACTGATGCCAAAAATGCAATCAGTAAAATTTTTGTCTGTCTGTCTGTGTGTATGTTCCTTATAAAAACAAAAACTACTAAACGGATTTTAACGAAACTTGGTTCAATTATTCTTCATACTCCTGGGCAGGTTATAGTATACTTTTCATCACGCTACAATCAATAGCAGCAGAGTAGTGAAGGGAAATGTTGGGAAAACGGGAGAAGTTATTACATTTTTTAAGCTTCCGTCCGCTTTCCGCGGGTGCAGCCTTAATGGTTAAAGTTACATAGAAATCATGTATGACGGAAATATTCTACATAAAATTGTCTAAAAAATATCACGCAACAGCATATGTCTATCTTTTATGGTTGACTCACAATAACACGTGTAAGTATAAAGAATGACTTTATTTTAGTTTATAGCACAAGCCTGAGAACAAAAACTATAGTTTACACTACAGCTCTACACCGAAGCGAAGCGAGGGCGGGCCACTAGTATCAAATAAAAACAGTAGTCAACTGTATCTACCCTTAGCACCAAGCACGGACCAATATCGAATTCGAATAGTTTGCCAGTCCGAAATGTCATTATCAAATTTTGTATGAAAACTTGAACAGCAGCGGCATAAAGTACGTAACGAGAATTGTTTCATGCTGAGGGTACTGAATAGTGACTGTGAAACTATTTTGTTAATTTGTGACCATGAAATATAATTGCATGACGTTTCGTGCAGGGTAAGAAGGATCCGGAAGGTATGTATAGTTTTGCGCAATCATACGATTAGTGTACCTACGGATACTGTGTTGGGTAACCGACAAACTGGCAATAATTATTACTTCAACTAACTATCAGTTAACGGCACAGTCAACATCAACTTATTTTCAACTAGCTGTGTTATTTTCAACTAACCCCGTGTTGTTACCTGCGCTTTATTAGGGTGAGGCCAAACGAGCGTAATTTTGTGAGTGGTGAGTCGCAGAATTTCGGTCGCAGAAATTCTGCTGCATTCGGTTTCATACAAAAATTCAGTTGGTGCCACACGACAACGCAAAATGAGTTGTCTGCCGACTCAATGCGCATAAGCTCGTCCGAATTTCGGTCGGGGTGAGGGTAGGGCAAGGAAGGGGAAGGAATGGCTAGTCTCATGTTTGTGTCTGATTTAATGATAAAAGGTTTTACGTGGTGTAATAATTCTTGAAAAACACGTAATGGTATATGATAGTACTTTTCAAACATATCTGGATTTGCACATAAACGTACCTATAAAGTATGGAACTGTCCACATATCAGCCTCTGACTATTCAGTGGGTTTACCCAGTTTCTTTTTCTGGCCTCATCTTCTGAATATGCTTCGTAAATACACAATATTTTTAATGGATCCATTGCACTCGACGACACGAACACCCCGTACTAACGCTCAATAGTAACTGAATAAATTACGTTCGTATGGCAGCTCAACAGAAATTCAGTTGAACGTAAAATAAGTGACCGAAAATAAGCGACTCACAACTCACAAAATTACGCTCGTTTGGCTTCACCCTTAGGGATACTAAGCCGCAGTAAAACGTACGCCTATGTGTTAATCCAGGGTGTCAACTAACTCCATACCAAAGGAGATTGCTCAAATTGGCCCAAATGTACAAAAAAATTTGACATATACTGTAATCCTTGGCGTAATTTATACTTTATTTTACAGTCAATACAAATTTAACAGACGCCTTTGTATAATATATTCATTTTAAAAAGGACTTTTAATTTTACCGGTTTGGAAAAAACACGAACCATTTTTGAAGGCTATGGGTTTAGTAACATACAGTCAAAGACTTTCGATCAGTCTTGTTTTTTATATATAACATCAAAACAAATCTATTTTGTAAAGGTCGATAAAATTTAACTTTTTTTTTATTACACTGTGGTATTAATATCCACAACTATATTATCATTTCACTACACGCAAAAGTGCTAAGACAATTATTATAGATGGTAGGCGACATCATAAAGTCTATTGCCATTACATTTTTCGCCAAACAACTCCATAACACATTATAAGGTGTGATACACTAAAAATCTGAAATATGGTTATAATAATATAAACATAACAAAAATAATAAACTAACTAAATTAACGAGAGTTTAAAAAATCTCTCTAATCTGTGGCTCGTTCACAATCATCACACAGTTTCTGTCACAGAGTAGGTAGCTGAATATAACCGGATATGCATAGATGATAACTGATTTTAAAAGTTGCTCTTGTGCATTAACTTTATAAACAGGCAACTATCTGTTAATCTACCTGAATCGAATACGTGATTTCGGTACTTGGCTTGATTTCCCTAGTTTACTATATGACTTATTTGTTTTTTATTATTTTAATACCTATGTACCTATTTACAAACATAACCTCAAAATCATTCAGTTTATATGGTTTATAGAAGTTCTCAGGGGTGTCCGTCAATAATATTGGTTTCTGCAGTAATTTATATATAATTTCGAATCTAGGAAACAATTTTCCATGATTATTGGTCTTTAGGCCAAACATGTATGGAAGCTGAGCAATCTCCTTTTGTTAAAGTCGCTCCAGCCGTTTAGATGTGAAGAAGTAACAAATATATACACTCATAAACTTTCGCCTTTATAATATTAGTTTGATTAATTGTCAGTCCATACTAACATATTGTATTGCATCCTGGGGTGGTACTTATAAAACCCGATTACTAACCCTTGAGAGAGCCCAACGAGCTGCTCTAAAAGTTGCAACCTTCCGCCCGTTTCTCTATCCCGAGATCAGATCTCCTTATATTGTAAGGACACCTTACAAGATTTAAAAACGAGATCTGTTAGTTCAGTTAGACAATTGTATATAATGCGCACAGTAATTAAGCAGCATGCCGCACTCCCATACAACCCTGATATATATAATATATTTATATATATATATAAAACTCAAAGGTATATACATAGTGATCTATCAACGCACAGCCCAAACCACTGGATGGATCGGGCTGAAATTTGACTTGCTGGTAGATGTTATGACGTAGGCATCCGCTAAGAAAGGATTTTGATCAATTCTACCCCCAAGGGGATAAAATAAAGAATGAATGTTTGTATGAAACTTTACTAATCACGGTGGGGGCAGATGTTTGTGTGATGAATACGAGCATTTGTACTCCAGTCATGGATGTTTAATATGTATTTCTAAATATATAAATATACTTATATATGTACAGTATATGTATTCTATCCGTTACCCTAGTATCCCATAACACAAGCCTTATAGTGCTTAGCTTGGGGCTAGACTAATTGGTGTGAGTGTTGGAAATATATTAATATATATATATATATAGCTATATATATAAGAAACCCTCCAAATGATGCCATATGAAAATACAGAGAACTTGATGACCTTTTTCAAACAAAACGTGATTAAATTAACATATCATGTATATTAAAACAATCCATTCTGATTAAGTATATTTGTATTTTGTTATTGACTTTTTTGATTGTGCTATTGATTATTTAAAGTTGTTTTATATTAAGATCTTTTTCGCCTGAAATACAGGACATTGCTAGTTCAGGGTAGGTATGTAGATTTGCTTCACTTTTTGTATTTCTTAGATTTAAGTCATTTATATATAATAATTGATGTTGAATAAAGATTATTATTTAAAAGATTATTAGAGGAGCTCGATGGCGCAGGTGGTTAGCGCATTCGGCTGCGATGGTTGAAGTTAAGCAACTTTCGCAGTGGTCGGTCATTGGATGGGTGACCAAAAATTTACTATCTCGAGCTCCTCCGTGCTTCGGACGACACGTTAAGCCGTTGGTCGCGGCTACATCTGCAGTCGTTAGCACTGGGCCCGCGTGGTGGGTCATGGCCCAATCTCCCTATTACATCCATAGGGAAGACCTGTGCCCCAGCAGTGGGGACATTAATAGGCTGATGATGATGATGATGAAAGATTAATATTATATTAAAATTGTGACTCTTATATAGTAGAGAGATAAGGCTCATACTTCGAGAAATTTTACATTTGAGGTCATCTGATCTGTTGCCGCCTATACTAAGTTTATTAAGTTTCAATTGCATCTTTGTATTTTTTTAAAGGTAGCTCGGACAAATGACTCCGCCCCACCTAATGTTAAATGACGGTGAAGTACAAACGTGAAGATAGCTGGTACAGCAGATCTACCTGCCACACCAGCCATCCTCACCTTGCCGGCCTGGCATGTTGCTTCTTCACGCCTCTTTTAAAAAGAAGTTTTTAAGAAGGAGGGAACACGTGAGCAGGCAGAGCATTCCATTTACGGATAGTATGACAAAGAAATGAGTCACCAAATTTCTTAGTACGCGTTGGAATTGTGGCCACAGTTAGACGGTGACAACGTAGGCCTATGGAGAAAAAGAGAAGGTGGAATAAGAGAGAATAACTCCTCAGAACATTCGCCGTAGTACAGACGATAGAATGCGTTAAGTTCGTCCAATAATTAATGCCATAACTTTGTGTAAGAAACAATTAAATGTGTCGATTTCAAAGGTCGCTGAAGGTTAACTTTGTTTACAATTAAAAACTCAATCGTTAACTGTGCTCTATTTACTTGTTGATTTTATTTTATTTTAAGAAGTTAAAGAATGTTCTTTAGGAGGTAGCTCTGGAATGTTTTAAGGGTTGGAAAAGCATCATAAAAAGTTAGAAAAACTCCTGGGGTTGACTCCCCGGTTAAAACAATAATTTGCGTTAGGCACTAAAGAACAATGCCCACTGCCCATACATTCGAAAACCTGTCACTTCAGTTTTTTCTTTATGGATGTATATTGACTGTTGAGGTTGTTAACTAATTATTACAATCTTCTGAAATAATGTTGCTAATTTGGTTTGATTTGGCAATGAGGAATAGAAGTTATAACGAAAACTAATTCTGAGGTTATTCAACTGCTGAAGATGTCATTTACTTACTCTGTGGTTACGAGATTGATTATAGATTATCTAATGCCGGAACTTCACTTGGCTATTTGTAAACTTGACAACAGTCTGTCCTTATCATGTTTTAAGGAAAGAAAAGGACAGACTGAAGTCAAGTTTACATGAATAGCCAAGTGAAGTGCCAGCATAAGATTATTCATTTGTGTGCTGTCACAGCTGTGGTGTCTTAGCCCAGCTAGGTATTTATTTCAATTCGCTTGTTTTGTTTGATTGAAGCTTGATCTGAGGATTGAAGAAAAAAAGGATTAATATCATAACATGTATCATGCTGAGGTGTTATCCTTATAATATTGTCTTTGGAATTAAACAAGTTTTTTTTATATTTAATCAATAATTCAGTTTCAATTATTTTATTGAAATAGTAGGTACTTAATGTCTTAGTTTCTGCAAGCGAATGAATAAATGATAATCTTGACCTTTACCTAATTATATCTATAGACATCTAAGACATTTAACTATGTATTATTTAAATCTCTGGTAGACAAGTATATAAGTAGGTAATAATCTAAAATAAAATTACAATACCTTCCATTAATTGAGATGATTGGTACTATGAGCAGCTGTCATTATTGCTGGCATTTTTTCGGAACAAATTTCCTTCTCCTGTAGTCAGCCGAAGAGGATGGAGTCCTAACTATTTCGGTCATGTTTCACTAAGAAAATGGCCAGTCTTTGTTAAGAACGGAAAGAAACTTTAAATTAAAGCCATGCCTTTTAAGTATTACATTACCATTAAAATACGGTATTTACCGCATGGCTGGCAACATTGGAAAGGAGAGTGCGAATCTATATATAAGCTGCGTTCATAATTATGTCATTTTACTTTGATACAATACTCTTCCCTAATGGATGCGTTCGTGTAATAGCAAAAAATGTACCTACATAATGGTTATTTTCAAAAATTATTTTTGAAAAAACTGGATTGTACTTTTTGTTGATATTTTGATTTCGTAATAAGCGAATAATTACCTTTTTTTTGAGGTATGTCACATAATTATACATGCAAAATTTTTTTACAGATTTGACAGGTCATAAATGGGCATCCTTCTTTGTCTGGTAGAGATAGGGTTACCATATCTCAGGATTTTTGGACTCTTCTCAGGATTACGGCTGGATTTTGCAAATCTCTTGAAATCTCAGGATTTTTTGAATATTTAATAAAATACAGCATTTTAAAGATCTGTTTAATAAAAACTTAAACAAACTAAAAATAGTCTTCCTTTGATAATAATTGCACAGTTAAAATGAGTACTTATTTATCCAAGTAGATACTTGATCAGTTTTATCATACTTAATATGTGATGATACCTTTTTAAGTAAGGTTTTTTCTTTAATTGTGGATTACAAAATGCCCCACATGTTAAGCTCCTCAAATTAAAAGTGTATGAAGCAGAAAAAGCAGCATGTGTAGAAACGATAATATTACGACTTATCTAAATTGTTAAGTACGTTTGAGTGAAAATTCTCAAACTGTAAAAATCTCAGGAATTTTCAATGGAAATCAAGCCTTTTCTCCGGACTTTTGATTTTGTCATCTGGTAACCCTAGGTAGAGAATGCCTAACCCGTTTCTAATATTTTGGAAAAAAATATCTAATTGCGCGGCAATAATTGAATAAATTATAACCTTATTATTCCAAGATTATGACATTATTTCTAAGTTTTTTATGTTAAAAGGATGGCAAACAATTTCGTCTTCAAGGGTGGGGAACTCTCTTTCGAGCAGAAAATCCGCTATGCCCTACATGTCTTGTGCATTAAGGTTTAAATTGTTAACATTGGAATGGACAAGCTTAGGCCCGACTATTATTTCATTTTTGAAGTAAATTGTGGGCTTTCCTTCTGTAACTTTTTATTCCCTTAAAAGTGTTTGTTGAGTTCAATACAACCAATGCTACATGTGGATACGATAACTTTAAATTAAAACTTCTACCACAGTCATAAATAAGAATAAAAAAAAAAAAAAAAAAAAAAAAATTATATTAAATTATTATATTTATAAATCATATTCAATTTAATTGATTTTTGTCGTATCTACACATAGAATTGTTTAGATTAAATAATTATATTAATGTATATTTAACTGCAAGGCTAACGTCGATAACATGCTGTTGTCGTTGACTTTGTATATATAATAATAAGTGTATATTAAAACTATGTATATATATGTTAAAAAACAAGTATTACTTGTAATACCTTGCCGAGAAGATGCAAATCAAGAACACACAACAATTCTTAATGCCATAGGTTTTTAATCTTTGTTTTATACTATCTATACATATAATAAAATGGTAGGAAAGTCAAAACTGTAGATTGAATATTTTTTTTAAAGAATACTTGTGGTGTGATCTACAATCGATACCGTAGCCAATAATATAGTTTTTAGGATTTTTATCTGTTTATCTGTTTGTCTGTATGTATGTCCGGGATAAACTCAAAAAGTACTGCATGGATTTACTTCAAATTTGGCACGAATATTATTAAGAAGTCGGGTCAACATATAGGCTACACATTATCACGCTATCACCTACGGGGAAAGAGCAGTGAACCTTTATTTCTAACTAACTCCACGCGTACAAAGTCGCGGGCGCTAGTAAACAATATACTCACAAAGTAGAGGCCAGGCATCTCGTTGAACTCTTGCCATCTAACTGACTTTAGTCATATAACAATACCCTATGTAAGAGTAATTGAAACATAACTAACATTCACGTACATCCGGAGTCCGGACTCCTAACAAACTATCACTGATAACACATTCAAAACAAATGAATTCGGAGAGTCGACATCATTGGTCGACGAATTGGGCCAGCTTTTCCAAAACAAAAGACGGTTAATTCTTTCGAATGACGTCACTAAATCTTTTGCGCGGTTAAATAAGGTTAGTATTAACAATATTTGTTCGGAATTCGTGATAAACGACCGGTGCCGTGCGTGTGCGTTTTCGACAGGGTCCATTACCGTACTGGAGGCGGTTCGGCGGGGCAGACCTTTCGCAACATACTGAGGTCTCAAGGCTGGTGGCAGGCCAACCAGTTGGCATATTGTTGTCATCACATCATTAAATAGGCGTACATCTTTTGATAAGCATAATGTTATAGTGAATTTTGAAATCACAAAATTTTATAAAAATGTAATAAATCACCTTTTCTTCTTTGTGTAAGATTTCAACAGACATTGCTACTAGCTGTAACTTGTTTGATACCAGTTAATAGGGGTGATGAGGGGGTACGGTATACGAAATTCTATTTAGTCCGTCAGTCAGATAATCAAAAAATAATGGACACGTATTTTTTCTTTAGGCAATCAACCAAAAAATGACAAAGTTATAGCGCGTCAAAGTTTGGGAGTAGGGGCTCGTGACGTCACTTTTAAGTGAAAATTGTACCAAAACGTGACGTCATGCGACTTTGCAAATCAATTTATCTCTGCAATGTTTATATTATGTGAAAAAAGAAACAATACGTGTCCAATACTTTATGATAATCTACCTAAATAAAACTAGTTTTTACGGGTTAATGCACGAAACTTTATTTATTTATTGACGTTTCGCAGCCTTTTCAGGTCTGCATTGTCAGAATAATGATTTTTATTTAAAATTGTCGAGCTACCTTCGAAAGACTTATATTGAGCGTTCGGTTATTTCATTGGAAGATTTTTAAAATTTTATTGTCTATGTATGAATTTATTATTTAATTTACTTAATAAAGTATTTTATTTAAAATTCTTGTTTGTAATTTTGTGTTTATTTATTTGACCCTAACTACCGTAAACTAGCACCGGTTCCAAAATTGGGAGACCTTCCTGAGAAGAACCGGCGAAACAAACTAAATAATCTACCTGATAAACGAAGAAAAAAAATAGTCATCATCCCTATTGTGACTATAATAGTTAAAATACCTTATTAAAAATAAATACTTGACATAATTTCACACATTTTACTTTCTAATCAAGATGCCATTGACTCAAAGAAATTCAACTATGTATCATCATCATCATTATCAGCCTATTAATGTCCCCACTGCTGGGGCTCAGGCCTTCCCTATGGATGAAATAGGGAGATTGGGCCATGACCAGCACGCGGATCCAGTGCGGAATGGCGAGTACTAACGACTGCAGATGCCGCCGGCACCAACGGCTCAACGTACCTTCCGAAGCACGGAGGAACTCGAGTTAGAAGATTTTTTGGTCACCCATCCAATGACCGACCACTGCGAAAGTTGCTTAACTTCAACGATCGCAGCCGAACGCGCTAACCACCTGCGCCATCGAGCTCCTCGTCCATCGAGTACCCTTAGCACGAACCAATATCGAATTCGAATAGTTTGCGTGTCCGAAATGTCAATGTCAAATTTTGTATGGAAACTTGAACAGCAACGACATACAGACGTAACGAGAACTAAAAATCAGTACACATTTGACAATGACATTTCTTACTCGCAAACGTTACGAATTCGATATTAGTTCGTGCTAAGGATGATGTGCTCTTCTGTAAGGTGAAAATAGCTAACTACTTCCTTTGATTTTAACTTGATAAGACTATGAGTTTGTTTCTTAGGTTTTCACGCACATCACTCATTAAATAAAACTAGTTTTAACGGGTTAACGCACGAAACTTTATTTATTTATTGACGTTTCGCAGCCTTTTCAAGTCTGCTTCGTCAGAATAATGATTTTTTATTTAATTTTGTCGAGCTACCTTCGAAAGACTTTTATTGAGCGTTCGGTAATTTCATTGTCAGATTTTTAAAACTTTATTGTCTATGTATGAATTTATTAGTTAATTTAGTTAATAAAGTACTGTATTTAAAATTCTTTTTTTGTAATTTTGAGTTTATTTATTTGACCCTAACTATCGTAACCTACGTCAATAAATAAATAAAGTTTCGTGCATTAATCCGTTAAAACTAGTTTTGTTTAAAGACTATGAGTTTTTATTATTTGCGTAATAAAGATGCGGTCAATGTCAAATTTGTAGATATGATGTAACTTTAAGACTATGATTGTGACTGTGAAAGAAATGCAAATTATTGTGATATATGACCACTATAAGGCTGATAGACCTATTCCTGTGGTAGAAATAAAAAAATATTCATTACAATCTAGTTTATAACTTTTTTTGGAGTTTACTCCTTAAGAATCGATATACATATATAAGGGGCCCGGTATGAGAAAAATGTGAGGAGTAAAATCTATCGATGAATGACCTCGTTACGTTTTTGGTGCGCATCCTATGTCGCGCAACTTTGACAAACAAAGATGACGGATTGACATTAATAAAAATTTTAAAATCTGAACTGAATTGGACGTAGTTACGCGAAAACGTTCCAACCCACAGCGACCCCATTTTGAGATAAACGCAATTTTGTGTTTTAGCGGTACACTTTTTCCCTGTAATTATTTCAGGCAAATACTATTGGTGTTACTGTGGAATGCCAAATTGGTTATTGAATGATATGCATATTTTTTGTAAATACATAATACAAGGGGCATATAAATAGGTAAAACGAGTTTGAAACGTTTTCGCTAAATTTAATTTTGTATGAACCTTGTTAAATAGCAATTATGCATAAACGTTCCAGAACGAATTTAAGTGTATTATTTTATAAATATATCTAAAATAAATATGTAAAATAATAAATAACAATGAGGAACATACAAAAACAACAAAAATTTGAAAATGTATTACAAAAAAAATAGAACGTGATCTTTTGAGCTTTGAACCTATGCCAATTTGCTGATATGGTTCCAAAAGTTATCAAAAACTTATATTATAAACATTCAATTTTCATCATCGTATTCTATGATCTCGAAGTCCGGAACTCCACCAAACCCATCAACATCATCAGTGCTTCTTCAGAACAGAAGGCAATCCACTTCCTGTGCACCTCTTCCTACCTCTCCTTCTACCAATACATAACAATGCCCAGTATCATTAGATGCACTATGGATACCACTATTGTAGAACTAAGTAAAAAAGTTAAACCTCTTCAAGTTTACAAAATGACAAAGACTGATTTTATAGTACAACTAAACTGGAAAAGAAGATTATCAATAGGAAGAAGTTTACAGACTCATCTAAAGTTAGTTGGCTACATACAAAAGAAATTAAGTTGGATAAAGATATAATTTTTTCTATTTTTATGCGGTCTACGATGGAAGACGATTTCAATGAGTTGAAAATTGATAAAAGAATAAAACGAGAACTACAATACATAAAAGAATCTGATTTTTGCTTATTGTGGCCTAACGACAAACCGATTGCTCCAGCGAAATTAGTGGACTTACAATCCATGTACCACTACATACCCGAGGATTGCCTTCAATTTTATAGAACGCTTCAAAGTTCTGAAGAAGCACTGATGATGTTGATGGGTTTGGTGGAGTTCCGGACTTCGAGATCATAGAATACGATGATGAAAATTGAATGTTTATAATATAAGTTTTTGATAACTTTTGGAACCATATCAGCAAATTTTTGGCATAGGTTCTAAACTCAAAAGATCACGTTCTATTTTTTTGTAATACATTTTCAAATATTTTCTTTGTTGTTTTTGTATGTTCCTCATTGTTATTTATTATTTTACATATTTCTTTTTGGTTTATTTTTATAAAATAATACACTTAAATTCGTTTTGGAAAGTTTATGCATAATTGCTATTTAACAAGGTTCATACAAAATTAATTTAGCAAAAACATTTCAAACTCGTTTTACCTATTTATATGCCCCTTGTATTATGTATTTACAAAAAATATGCATATCATTCAATAATCAGTTTGGCATTCCATAGTTAAACCAATAGTATTTGCCTGAAATAATTACAGGGAAAAAGTGTGTAAATTGCGTTTATCTCAAATTGGGGTTGCTGTGGGTTGGATCATTTTCTCGTTACTACGTCCAAATATACCATAGTTATTTATTTTGGTAAAAAATATCTTTTTCTCTAGAACATACTTAATAGCAAAAATGGATCAAGTATATGTGGATTGTTTATAGCAAAAAATTAGAAAATAATATATTATAATAAAAGGTTTCAATTTATTTAGAACAGTGTTCGCAGCTTAAAAAAACAGTATGGATTAATCTAAAAGGTTTCAAATTACATGGAACATTTTTGCAGAAATAAAAAATGTATAAAGATTTTGCAAAAACGTTCCAACCCACATGGATCATTTAAGAAACCATTAAATGTGCGTTTTATGAATTTAGTATAATGTTCCAAGACAAGTGGAACATTATAACGATATGTTATTCTATTAAGAGTTTTTAACAATATGTTTCAGTATGCATGTAATGTTTTTACTTTATTTTGAGTACACGTCCTTGGCATAATGGTGGGTTGGAACATTTGGGTTAAACTTTATTGATGAAACTAACCTAAAAATACTAGCATCTTTGTGTGCACATGATGTAATATGTCAAAAATAGTACCCTGGTTATGGTAACTCATTTTCGAGTGACTTGTGGGTTGGAACGTTTTCGCGTAACTACGTCCAATTTAGATATTGTTTCTGATAGAGCAATGGGGACAACGAGGTATGGTACAACCATTGATGCGGTATTTTCAAGATTCGTGAACCACGTATCTACGAACGTCCATGTGTCTTATTTTAGTTACCATTAACCACTTGTCACTGTAATTAATAATGCAGACAATGTTGATTTAATTAATATTTAAAAAAATGATAATAGTCTTATAATAATAATTACATAATTTATCAACATTCCTAATGATATATTTATGCACATCTAAAATTGACTATTGTAAAAAGTTTAATGTAAAATATTTCGTTGATTAGTTATAATAAATGTATATAAATATATATTTCTATATGTATATTATTTTCATTAATTTGTTAATTTACCCTTTCATACAGTATCAATCTTTTTTAAGTTAAATAAACTCTTTTTGCGTCTGGTTAGACTATCGAACTTAAGGAGTAAACTCCAGTCGTGCGTCGGAGCTGAAACACACATTTTTTTTTTATTTAATTTTGTCGAGCTACCTTCGAAAGACTTTTACTGAGCGTTCGGTTATTTCATTGCTAGATTTTTAAAATTTTATTGTCTATGTATGAATTTATTAGTTAATTTAGTTAATTAAGTACTTTATTTAAAATTCTTTTTTGTAATTTTAATACCGTCAACTACGTCAATAAATAACTAAAGTTTCGTGCATTAAGATTTATATCACGGATTACTTATAATTCAATTTTGTTTGACTATAGTATTATTATTTTCATCGTA